TGGTGAGACCACTTGGACTTTTTACCTCCAGAACTGTAAAATAACAAAGCTGTGCTCTGTCAAGCCTCTAGGTTTACAGTGCTTTGCTACTGCAGCCACAGGAAACAAACACAGTGACACATGCCACTCACAGGCTGCACCATAAGGCCCTGCACCGTGCTCTACACTTGCTGTGCCCCCTGCAGGGCCATGCAGAGATGGCAGAGTGGTGCTGCAGGGGGGCCTGGGCCTCTGCCCTGGGACTTATCTGAGGTGCCACCCGAGAAAGAAAGAAATCCTGACTTGTTCAGCCAATAATGTTTTGGGTTATTTGTTACAATGGCGAGTATAACTGTAACCAATAGTATTTTATGCAAAAGTGAATATTCTCTAAACAAAAAGACTTCTGAAGTTGGGAAGGGGAAGAATTCACAAAACCAAGTAGGAATGCACCAGGCAATGTTTGAAAACAGAGCACACACAGAAGAAAAGAGTACTAGAGACCAGAGGTTAAGTCCAAACACACCTTAGAAATGCTGTGGTCCACTCTGACTGGAAGATTCTGCAAAAATGCTGACTAAAAGGGTCTCTCTTTTTTCTTGGAATGACCAGAGAAAAGGTAGACCTCTTTCCTGTATCTTCAAGCATTGATCAGTGATTGGGCTGAGGACACTGGGGACATGATTAGCAAGCCTGTGGCTATAGGGTTACTACAATAAAAAACTAATTAGTCTTCCATTCCTAGCAAAAGAGTGGCCTAGAGAATATAAAAACCTCTCTGCAGAAGATAATTCTGGGAGAATTATCACCCAAAACCTTTAAAATGCATCTTTCACTTCTGTCTGACTGAATAACATAACAAAGAATAGAATTATTTAGAAATTACTAAAAAAAGTAAAGGCGGGTGGGGGGGCAGGAAGAGATAAACCAAAGAATTTACATGCATATATAACCAATGGACACAAACAAAAGTGTGGTGAAGGAGGGGGGTTGAGTCAATGGAGAAAAAGAGAGGGACATATGCAATACTTTCAATAATAAAGATAAATTTTTAAAAAGTAAAGTGATCTATTTCTCACTTTACTTTCCATAGATACAATTGTTTTATATTTCCATTTGACTCAGTTCTAGAAGGGATGTGAAGCCTACTTTTTATAACCATACGTAAAACTAGTAACGCTCCACACTATCACGTATTAGGTTTTTATGATAACTTCACTGACATACCACTTTGGCTCCTCTGGGACATGGGGAGGACCCTATTCCGCAAAACGTCTTTAACAAGGAAACCTTAGCCACAACACTGCCACTGAATCAGGGAGACTGGCAGAAAGAATCGTGTGCCTCACAATTACATCCTCCTCCTGCTGAGGCACACTAGAACCTCACTAATTCCAACTTTGCTAATCTGTATTTGCAGTTAACTCTCATAAAACAAGCAGTCTCACTTCATTTCTCCACAGATACTCTGTAGTCAAGAGCAGTGGAGAGGTCTGAAACCATTAAGACTTTGACTTTCCCAGAGGACCGCCAACAGTGCCCGGCTGGGACGAGGTGCCATCCCCGCTCATCAGTAATGCGCTCCATATTTGCACAGCCCCTTTCCTCCACACTCTGCACAAGCCTGTGCCAATGGCCTCCTTAATCTCACACCTTGCCAGGAAGGACCTACAGGCCGGTCCCACTGAACTCACTGGCTCTGAAAGGAGACACTCCAAATGGTTTGGCCAGTTTTTTAAAATGGAGTTATCTTCTTTATTCTAACTGTAAGGTGACTGCTAGTTAAATGAGTACATAAGAACCTAGTGCTTAAACCGGTGCTAGAGAAGGGAAGCTAAATATGCCACCCCAAAATATGCCTCAGCATAAGGGTTATTTTGAATGGATTAAGAAAAAGCAGACAAGGGAAAGCTCAGAAAACTGAGAATGTAAGGGAAGGTTACATTTATAACGGAAATTTCCATTTCTAAGTGTCTCCCTCTCTGTACTAGAAAGGGAAGATGACTAAATTACAAGAAAACCTTAACTCTGCATAACAACCTTACTCTGGTTTATCTGGCTTTCCTGGAAACCTCCCACAACTGGCTCCCCACTCCCCAACATTTTTCTTCTGTCTTTAGTTGAAGTTGGAATTTGAGGTGATGGCTTGGGCCATTTCAGGGAGTTATTCAGTTTTCCTAGGTCTCTCCCACCTTTGGAGGAGGTATTCCTGTTATTAAAGTTCTGTTTATTTTTCTCTTACTAATCTGTCTTTATTACAGGGGGTGGGGAGGGGGGTCTCAGCCAGGAACCTAGAAGGGTAGAGGTAAAATTATTTTCCCTCCCCTATACCAGGCACACTGTAACATTCAGCAAAGGTTAGTTACTACTTGTACTATTTGGATGCCACTTAAACTGGCTGACAGTCACACCTGCATCACTAGTACACATTGGAGACAGTGCAGAAGTAGAGAACATAGTGGGCCCTACATTCTGAAAGGGAAGTGAGAGGTGCTAAGAGGCTCTGAAGAAACTCACTCAGGAGCTATTTTATGCCACGCACTGTGCCAGCCCCTGGGAAGGAAGACATCCATAAGACCCAACCCCAGAAGTAAGAAGAAGAGATAGACAGATGGAGGTAAGTGTAATAAGGAAACAGGTAATTTTGTGGAAATGTTCAGGATACCTGGTTCAGACAGCAATAATAAGAAAACACAAAAGAACATGAAGACAGTCATGAATGAGAATTTTATTGTTTCCAATTGAGGATTTAAGCACAAGTCTGTGTTATCCAATTTAAGCACTTAATGAAAGTGTGGCCAAAGTTTTCAAGGCTGTTATTTTGATTTATGAACTGTGCTCTTGGCTATCCTTTATGATTGTTCTTTATTACAGTAAACTGACCCCCCACCCCCCAACATCAACTCTGCAGAATGGCCTACTCTCTGGCCATGCCAGAGTAAATAGGAATACCTGACTACCCTCAGCTTTCTGCCAAAAAAAGCTTTCCCACAGGGGCCTCTGTTCCACAGAGGAAAGTGGATCTGGGGGGCACTGTGATCAGGCGAAACACTGAAATTGACAAAAGCCCCTTTCTAAACTGAACCTCTGGACCAGGATGCCTGTTCTATCTCCAACTCTGGGCAAGAATGACTGGTCTTGGAATGTGGGGAATGACAATGACAGTTTCTTAAGCAGCTCCTGTGAGACTGGGACCCTAAAGGCTAAAGGACCTGCCTTGAAGTCACTTGAAAAGTTTATCTGTGGGATTAACTGCCCTTGAACTTGGATCCTGATGAATAGAAGGGATGGAACTCCAGTGAGAGTTACAGTGGCAAAGGTAGTCCTGCTCTGTGACTCCCAGAAGATTATCTGGCCCAAACCTCCCATTTCATAGATTAGGAAAAGTGAGCCCTAGAGAAGTGACGGGTCTCAAAACTTAGAACCCAAGTTCACTGCTACACCAGCACAAGTAAGTTTGCTCCTCTCTCCTCTAGCATAAATAAGCTATTTAATTTGTAATTCACAAAGCCTAGCTGTTTACAATTCAAAGAAAACCAGTCCTTCATGGAATTTCTCCCAAGGAGTTAATATGCACAGTTCATGTCTGTAATCCTAAAAAATCTCCATATGAATATGTTTCCATATGCAATTTAGTTGCTACTACTTTAAGTTGGTGTCACTCCAACATATATACTTTATTGCTACTCATTACCCTGGGAAAGAGGAGTGTAAAGAAAGGTGTTCCTTCCTGCAGTGCTGCCCAGGTCATCAGGCAGCCGGGCATGGGGCCTGCTGAGGTAGAAATTAAAGGTCAAGTTATCTTTAAAGGAAGTCTCTTTGAGGCACTTTTTTAAAAAAAAACTAATGTGACACAAAGGCCCCCCCAAGCCTATTTCCACTACAGCAGAACTACTTTCTAAAATCCCATGCTTCTTAAGTCCCCAGGCATTTGTTATCCACTTTTCTTCCCTAGTCCAGGTTTGTTTTTTTTTTGTTGAGAGCGTCTTTGACCAGTGAAAAATATTACCGTGGAATACACCATATTTAAAGAGCTGCTCTATTCATCATGTTGAAGCAGAGAATGAGTGCCCTACCTTGGGGGGCCACAGATCGGGATTACCGGGAACCTTTATTGTTAAAATTTAGGTGGCACATATGTGCCACACAAAGCAGCCATGTTCACCAAGGCTTCTGTCATTAGGAGGATAGTTTATAACACTAAAGTGTGCATTGAAGACCCTAAGAGAACGCACTCCTCGAGGTGATCTGGCTTCTGGGACCCAGACACCTCGCATTCACTCTCCCAGAGTCTTAGCACCTGTATCCCCTGTCATTGCAAAGGCAGCGGAAATGGAAATGGAGCAGCTGGAACAGCGCAAAAGAGCCAAAAGGAGCTGTCCTCGGGAAGGGGAGGCGGCCGAATGAATTCACCGGCTGCTCAGATTCAGATTTTATATGAAATCTGGATTTAACTTCCTTCGCTCAGAATTTAGAACTTGGGGGGTGGGGGGACCACTTTTGAGAAAGAGCTGGATGTGAAAACAACTGGGGGGAGGGAGTCATCTCGAGTGATTAATGATAAAAACTATTTCCACTCCTTTGATTCTTTCAGTATGAAATGCTGTCAACCGACAATTAATCATCACCCTGTCATTAAAAATATACTAACGTTTAATTGTATCGCCTACTCGTTATCCCAAAACATCTTTATATTCTGAGCAAGCGCTCACCGCCCCCATTTTTATTTTTTCTGGAAGTTGTGCAATTGGGCTTATTCAAGTCATTCTGGTTTGCATGCAACTAACTGCTACGGGCTTGCGGTGTTCCGCACACTTTAAAGACAGGTTTCGCCGAACGCAGGGTTCAGTGTAACTGAAAACCCCAAGAGCAGACAGGTCCCAGGCTGGTTCACAAGTCCCCGCGCCACCCGCCGGGCCTCCCCGCTCGGCGCCCCGCTCGGCGCCCCGCGCCCTGCACCCGCGGGTTCGAGCCCGCCCTCGGAACCCGCGAGAGGAGAGAAAGTGGAAACGAGTCAGTACCAGCGGGCGGGTGTCCAGCTTTCGTCTCTAGCTTCCCCTCGGGAGGCGAAGACATGGTGCAGACGCGTTTCGGAGCGGCTGCGAGGGCGGCGGTGGCGGGTTCGCGGGCCGCGAGGATGAGCGCGCGTGGGGTGCTGGGGCCGCGCGGGGAGGGCTGACCGCGGCCGTCGGGAGGGGGCGCGGCCGCTGCGCGCCGACGTGGCGGGGCCCTGCCTGCGCGCGGCTGCGCAGTGACGTCACGGCGCCCGGCCTGCCCCGGGGCCCTCTGTGCGCCCCGTGTACTGAGCCTGCGCAGTCGGCAGCGCCACGTTGGAAGTTTTGCCCGCGGGCGGAGGAGGAGATCCGGGAGGGGCGTTCGCGGTTAGGAGAGGTGGGGATCCAGGCTGGCCACGGCAGTCGCAGGAGGTTGGAAAAAGGCCCAGCGTGAGGGTGGCTACTCCGTGGGCCGCGCTCAACCAAGTCCGCTGGATAATGACTGCGGTGCGGAGTTCGAGCCGCCGAAGTGGGCCGCCCAGGCGCCTGCTGTATGTGTTCAGGGAGCCAGGGCCAGCTGTCCTCGCTCGGCTCACGCTGGGAGTGACTACTTTAATGCGGAAATGAGACCCCAGGCGGGACCGACCAGGAGCCTGAGGGTGGCAGGGATTTGTTAAAATTGAGAAGGGCAGCGCTGCGAAGCCGGAAACCTGGACAGAGTTCTCCGAGGGCAGCGTCTGTGCCCGCTCTCTGCCATCTTTCTGTTGCAGTGGATGCTGATTCTGTCCTAAGCTCATCCTTTGCTCTCGTGCCCTGGATCGCACACCTTTCGCCTTCTCAAGCACTTTGCAACAGCAGTTATCCTTTCTTGAACCAGCAGGCTCATCTTGCCGGATTAGCGTTCAAACATAAATAATGTCTTTAGAAAAGGAAACACATGACCTCTCTTAGCTGGACCTTTGACAATACAGCTGCCCAGAGGTTGGACACCTTACCTCCTCTCTGTCGTCAACCTAGTTCAATCCATCTGGCTATCATCCTGGTAGCTACAGAGAGGCTGGCCCCAACCATGGAAAATTCTTTTGTCAAGGTTGCTCATGACCTCCATGCTACCCAACCCAACCATCACCTTTCTACCCATCCTACTCAACCTCAGCACATTTGACTTTGCCGCCTGTCCCCCTCCTCCTTAGTTTCAGGGATGCCACATAACTACATAACACTTGATACCCAGTTACCTTGGCTGTGTGTATGAAAAGGGGCCACATGCTAACCTGACAAGCTCAGGGAAGGCCTAAGGGGTGGCCTTGCAAACTCAGACCTAAAATAACCACAAAAGCCTGGCAGGTGTGGCTCAGTGGTTGAGCATCCACCCATGCACCAAGAGGTCACCAGTTCAATTCCTGGTCAGGGCACATGCCTATATTGTGGGCCAGATCCCCAGTGGGGGGCATGCAGGAGGTGGCCAATCAATGCTTTCACTCATTGATGTTTCTGTCTCTCCTTCTCCCTTTCTCTCTCTCTAAAATCAATAAAGAAAAAAATTAAAATTAGAAATAACCACAAAGGGTGGTCTGAAAAAAAAAAACTTTTAATCTAAAAGTAATTTATGGTGGGTAATCATGTCCTATGCTAAAATTTTCCCTGACAAAAGTCAACTTTCACTTTAATTGAAACTATTGTCCTTTTTCATCTATGATAACATACTTTTGGAATGTCAGGTTAACTTCCCTTTTCCCAGACCCTTGTCCATGTAAGAAACATTAAAACCTGTGAAGAACTTTTGTGAGTTTATTTGAGGCAAACTGATGATAGTTGCCAAGAAGCAAAATATCAGTGAATTGAGATAATGCTCCAGAGAATGGTAGTTTTGCACCTTATTTTATACATTATAATCAAAAGGGGAGACATAAGTGGGTTACATGACATTGGTGATAGATTAGGGGGGTGGGAGAAAGCAAAGGGGTGGGGAACCTCTGAGATTGACTAAAAGGTAAAATGATAAACACATGCTTCTTTTGCATAAGTGTGTACACTGTACAGGATAGTTAACAGTCAACAATTAACATGACAATAACAGTGAGGGGAATTGTGCTCTCCCTGGTCTGGAAAAAGGGAAGTTACCAAAAGTATGTTACCATATATACAAAAAGACAATAGGCTCAATTAAGGTGAAAGTTGACCTTTGTCAGGGAAGATTGTAGCCTAGGATGTGACTACCCACTGTGAACTGCTTTTAAAAAGTTATTTCAGACCGTCCTTTGTGGTTATTGTAGGTCTTTTGAATTTGAAAGGCTGCCCCTCAGACCTTCCCTGAGCTTGTCAGGTTAGCACGTGGCTCCTTTCTGTCCACAACTGCTAGTGTTCAGTCCTGTTGGTGGGCTCCTGTTGTAGTTTTCTGAACTTTTGAGTACACCAAGTCTCAACACCAGCCTTCTTCTCTATCTAGACTTTGCTTCAGTGGTCATGTGCAGACCTGTGGGTATGACTATCATCCAAATGCTTATGGATGCCAAATCTGCAAACCCATTTCTCTATGCCTGTCCCTCCCCTAAGCTCTAGACTTACATCTCACTCACCTCCTTGACCTCTCTCCTGGGTGTTTAGCATAGCGTTGCCAACTCTGCCTCATGGCACATATAAAAATGCACATACCATTAATTGATCTTGGACTTTCCCCCTTACATTTAAATGTCATTAGTGGCAGGATAGCTGTTGGCCAGGTGGCAGTAATGATATAGTCATCATTGTCTTGCACTCACATCAAAACTTGCAGACAGGTAGCAGCAGCTTAGAAGAAAATCCTGAAGTCAATAGTGGTACACTTTTTTACGAGACATTGCATACGAGACATTTTTTACGAGACTGACACTCTTGAAGAAGCAGAGCAAAAAAATTTACACACACCAACTTGGATTCTGAATGGAAAAATGCTTTAAGAATACCTAGCCAATTCATTTTATGAATATTTTTAATGTATGTGTAATAGTGCTGTATGGTTAAAAAGTCATGTCTTGCCCTGGCCGGTTTGGTTCAGTGGTTAGAGCATCGGCCTGCAGACAAATGACTCTCGGGTTTGATTCTGGTCAAGGGCACATAGCTCAGTTGCGGTTCATCCCCGGCCCTGGTCAGGGTTGTGCAAGAGGTAACCAGTTGATGTGTCCCTCTCACATTGATATTTCTCTCTTTCTCTCTCTCTCTTCCTCCCTACCTCCCACTCTACCAGAAGATAAATAGAGAAATATCCTCGGGTAAGGATTAAAAAAAAAAAAAGTCATGTCCTAACAAGTCTGAAATAACTATTTCTAAGAAATATAAAATAAAAATTCTATGTTATAAAACATTGTGTTGGCCCTGGCCAGTTTGGCTCAGCGGTTAGAGTGTCGGCCTGCGGTCCTGAGAGACCCAGGTTTGGTTCCCGCTAAGGGCGCGTACCTTGGTTGCAGTTTGTCCCCGGCCCTGGTCGGTCGTGCGGGTGGCAGCCACTCGATGTGTTCCTTTCACATCGATGTTTCTCTCTCTCTCTCTGTTCCTCCCTCTTCCTCCCACTCTACCTGAACAAAAAAATGGGAAAATGTCCTCGGGTGAGAATAAAAACAAAAAAACAAAAAAAAAACCATTGTGTTATTATTTATTTGGCAGCATTTTCCCCTTAGTGGTACATAAAGTTGCATGTTATGAGCAATGGCATCTTCTATTTAATGACATATTGCTACTGGAGGGATGAGGGGGACAGATACCTCCAATATTCATGGGCAGGAGATTCCTGGAGTGCAGTCAGAGTAAACATACGCAGAAGCCCCACAGGAGAATGAATGGTTTTTATTGGAGTAGAATTATATTTCTGAGGTTGTAATGGCCCATGTCCAGTCCTGGAAGAGGAGCAGTTGTGGACTCAGCAAGGCTGGAAATAAGGCCAGAGTCCAGAGTGTCCGTTCTATGATGCAGCTGGGTCCAGATCAGGCATCAGGCTAGATTCAGTCCATTAGTCCATTGTGTGGAGTCCCACATGGCTGTGGGGCACCTGGGGGTGGGGCAGTGCAGGGTCTGGGAGCCCCGAGTACCAGGAGTCTAGCACAGCAGAGAGAGAGAGAGAGAGAGAGAGAGAGAGAGAGAGAGAGAGAGAGACATTCCTTTGTCTAGGAGATTAAACTCAGGTTTTGCATGCTTGCAGTGGCCATGCCTATTCTGGTCAATGACTTGCTCCCAGGTGTGACAGAGAGGTAGGCACCTCCCATGTCACTGAGACCTTATTGAGCATGTGTCTAAATTGCCTTTGTCAAGTCCTTTCCCCCACTGATCAGCAAGGAATAGACCTGGAGTGTTGAATTAGCTAATCTCTTTATTCCTTTTCTGTTAAATAATAACCAGGTAATTGCAACAGTATCAATATTACATTGCTAGGGAATGATCTTGATTCTGATGTTCCTTGAGTGTGACAAGCTGATTCTTCCTTTTGAGTTTTAGCATTATCTGTTCCCTCAGTCTGGAACTGTTTTCTCAGATTATTGCATAGTTAACTCCTCATTCTGGATCAGTTTTTCAAAGGGCCTACCCTGACCCCCAAATCTGAAGAAGCCAGCCCAGGCACTAGACTCTCATCACTTTGTCTCCACAGCACTTCATCCTCATCTGAAATTCCTCACCTATTATCTTGGTGTTACTGTCTTTCTTTTCACTGGTTGAATGCCAACCCCACTAGAGGAGAGACCTTGCCAATCTTGCCCACTGCTTTCCCAGCAGAACCAGAGTGGGCACAGAAGAAGCATTCAGTAGATATTCTCCCCCATAATTATGGAGCATAGATACACTTAATTTCTCACAACTATTACCTAATGGAAAAGCAGCAAGTAAGGACAGAGAATGAAAAATATATTACATAGTAGATAGATAGCATTAACACAAACGGACTCTAATTGTAACATTTACTTTCACTCGTGAGCATATTTGTGTGTATGCATGTGTGTGTGTGTGTGTGTGTGTGTGTGTGTGAGTGTGTGTGTGTACATGGGTGTGTCCAGTCCCACTGATCCTAGATGCTGAGGATAAATGTCAGGTACCACCCACTGGAAGCTTTCTATGCAGACGTGCACACTCAATAGATGTTATCGGAATTGCTGAGTGAATAATCTTATTTGAAGCTCACTATAACTCGAAAAGT